ATTACTTTCCTTCATTTTTTATCTTTCTATCATTCCTTCTATTTTAATCGCTTGTTTTCGTTTTTGTTATATTTAGCTTCTTTGACAAAAGTAGCAGGTATTTATGTTTAAGGTACTATTATGCAATACTTACGATTTACGAAATATGACAATAAGTTAGTAACGAATCACATACTAGGTGATTTTTCAAGTAATTTCATATATATTAAGTAAAGAACGGTTCTGTCAAACATCATATTGATGGTCAAAATGGTTTTATGTTTTTAAATGTATTATTTGTGCGTGTATTTTAGGATAACAGTTTCAGTTTGATAAAATTATAATGATAATATTTATTATGAAATCTGACGTTTTTTCCTACTTTTCTCTCTCTGTTTGGTAGTTACAAAGCTTGTTAACTTTCCAGGCTGATTTAACGGAATTCACACATTGTTAAAGAAAAACCTACCCACCGTTCGTTATAAAATTTTATTGTATTAAATCCATGTTAATAAAAGTTTATATCGAATCACGAATTGGATCGAGTAATATAATCTAATGCAATCAATTTATGATAAATGATATTATATGATACATACCTTTTACTGATTTTCTTAATTTAATTAAGATGTTTTATAGAGGTTCTTAATATGCAAATTACCGTGCTTATACAAGTTTTAAAGATAATTGAATTGAGCTGAAATCTTATTTCATACGATTTTTTCTGTTTAATAAATTCTTCTATCTGGAAAACATTGTGTGTGGAATTCAAGTTTAGTTTGGTTGCTACTGAAGTAATCCAAAATTTAAAAACTATGTAAAACAACCATGGGAACTAATTCATGTGGCTCTAACATCGTACACCTTTAATGCATCACTGTGAATGGAAAGTCTAGAATTTCTCTTTATCTGTGATTCTGGCTCGTCGGATATCTTATAATGAGATCAATCAAAAGTAAGAGAATTTGCTCGAACATTTGTTGATGCGCCTGACATGTTTTAGTTGTTTAATGACGTTTGTTTAGTTACTAAAATGCAGAAATGTATTGCATAAACTATATTTTCTAGACAAAATCACGTGGGCTATATTCAATGAATCATTGTATGATACATTTTAGCAAAACGAATTGCTTAAACATAGCCAACTGTTAATTTAACTTTTCAAAGTATTTCACTCGGACGCATGAAGATTTTTTAAATAACGCAGGATCATCGATGCTCGAACAGGTTACATTCTACTGAAAGTTAAATGTGAATTAATAAACGGTTGCTCCGTCAAATGTATATATACTATTACTGATATAATTTAATCGTTAGTTAAACCGATAAAAATAATTTATAGGAAAATGATAACAGTAAAAACATTTTGCATATTATAAAGACAGAAACATACAATATACAGAGTCACACACACGTGCCAGCATCTTATACCGAATGCTAGCATATATGTATTATCGTGACAAAGTGATAATTAAGCGGAATATATAATATCGTTTATTAGAATATATTTAAGAACAAAAACGTTGAATGAATAAGAAGACAAAGATGCAGATAGATTATAATGCTGAGTCATAAAGATAATGATGACACTACCATTTGGAAAACTGTATTGATACGCAAGCAGTTTATATATCTGAAGCTGTAATTTTGCAGTGCCATTCACCTGGTACTAAATAAGAATTTCTGCCACTACTGATACATAAAGATGAATCAGTCGTAATTGAATGTGATGTTATGTGACTTGGAATACAACAAGTTTGTATGCAAATTCAAATTCAGCAGCCATTTTCACTCACACGCACACACGCGTAAGTCAAATTATCAGTTATTTTCACGAAGTCACACGTAAGTTAAAATATTCACTTATGATCAACATGCACTTACATATACGATACATATTACGCCAAAATCGACGTACATTCGGTTAAGATGAACATGTACTCTATCATTTCAGTATTTAAAATTATTATTGACGAAGATGAAATGCATTAAATTATTTTTCGTTCCTGACTTGTAATAAATAAAGTATTTCTTATGTCCCCTTTATTCCACCGTTTTATCAACAGTTTAGCGTAAATTGTTTGTTTGATCATTCACACCGACAAACATCTCTTTAATAGTGTCGTTTGTTTACGATTCTTGAAAGGGAACAATTTTATACAACCAATCAGTCAATGTAGATTAGTCTTTTAATGGAACCAGATAATGGATAAATAGGAAAAGAAAGTATTTACACTCTCTATTTTATTAGTCACTCGATCAGAAATATGATACATGTATATCAATAAAATGTCATATCTAACTTTACAATTCCTAACGATATCAGTGTTTGAGAGTCTCACGTTCACATAAAATGTTCACACAGATAAATCTAATTATAGAAGTGTAAATGTATAACTTATTACAATACGGCAATATGTATGTACATCCATTTAGGCCATCATTTAAAATAGATGCAACGGAATATATTTTATAAGGTTTTTTTTCACATAATATGTATCTGTTATACATATTGTAGTTAAATAAAATGGTTAAAGCTAAACGGTGTTGCGCACTTTTGTTGTGAATCATTTACTTGATAAAGTCGCCATACTCGGATTTTACTTCTCAAAAAATGCAGTATAATGCAAAATTCTTTATTATTTTTAAAATCAGTAAACATACATTACTTTCAAACAAATCTTTGCCCTCTCATCTGTCAATAACTTTGTTCACCTAGTTCATGTTCTTTGCATTGTTCGGTGCCGTTCATGTTTGTCAACGTAGCTGTAGGTTTTCTAGGCCACATTGCTCCCTATTGCTGATCTTTTTTCTACTATTTCCTAATTAGAGACATGTTCTATAATGATTGTTCTACTTAATCAGTGTGGAATTTCAGACGATCCTCTTTTCGACCGTAATCCTACCTGATTATATACTACTGTTAATTTAGAAGTTGATACTGAATGTGTTTCATGTTGCAATGCTCTGATTTCAATAAGATAATAACTTGCAATTAGTTGACAGTGTTGTAGAGAAAAAAACCAATGATTTATACCGACAAAGTAGAAGAATACATTGACCTCAAATCATTGGCACTAAAATGTGTTTGAAATGGCATTACATCAGTATTTATCCCGATTTTCCAACGCAAGGATGAAGCTTTATAAACTTAAACCTCACATGTAAAAAAACAAAAAAAAAACATAGTTACATATTGTTAATCTTGTTACTTGTTAACTTATAAGAATAAACTTAACACGATTCGTAATATTTTCAAATTAACATAGCAATATGTTTTACTCAAGGAATAAAAATTGTCATGTATTCATATATCTTGGTTTGTAATACTTCATGTACTATATATTTTTACAAACATCGTTGATGATATAAACTGAATAACAAACATCGTTGAATGATATAAACTTAATAACAACTGTATTTTAGTTATATAATGCACAAAACCTACCTACAATATTACGAGACACGGACAAGATATATACATTATTTAAATATATAAACAAAGTTATCGAATCATCTTTACCTGTGACAACTCCTACTAAATCATTTCCTGTTACTACAATGACTTTAAAGTCATTGACTTCAGTTGACATATCAGTCTGAATGTCGCAGAAATTGATTAAAACAAGTAAAATGAAAGTATTATATGGAGAATTCGTACAAATGCAATGCCTTGGGCGGAAATTAAATTGACATAGTAGTTTTGTTACTTACAGATGAACCGATTCTGTGATGAGAAAAGTATTGATATAAAAAAGGAACTCAAATGTTTTTCATTTTCATAAATACGTGTTGTTTAAAAAATCATACTTTGTGTACATTACATGTAAATGTTTGAATTATACCATTGAAATGTCATTTTCTCCTTGGCAATACTTGGAAACAGGTGTTTGAGCATTCGTGCTTTAAATGTAATTTGTGCAAGTCTAAACGTTTTTGTGGTAAAATATGATAAACAAGATCAACAAGGAAAGGCGGCGTTCAAAGAACGCAACCCCCATATGACCCAGCAACAAGAACCAATGGCAAGGAGCTCAGGCGGACCCCAAACAAAAACAGGACAGGGAAAAGACAGAGCACGGACAGGTTAATCAATAAATGATAAATAATTTGTAACTGATTAGGAATTCAAAAGAATAATAGGCCCACAAAGGGGAAGGGGGCAGGAGACCGGGGGAAAGGGGGTTTAATCAAAGAAATAAAAACTAGAGGCAATGGGGAAGATACTTACCGTAGACGAGAAAACAACAAGGGACACAAGCAAAAGTGTCACCAAAACAGTATGAAACAACATAGACATACTTCTGAGGAACACAGTGGGGCGCCGCCTTGGAACGGTCAGCAGCATATTAATGACTGCTGGGGAGTTTAAACCGGTTAATGGAGCACCAAACCTCGCTCTTAGCCCCACCATGTTCCTATAAACGAGACAGTGTATATAAAATGAATCCCCGCCAAGTGAAATTCTAACAGTTGTCATGGTTACAAAAGGTTAAATAAATAAAACACTAAAATGACCATGTAGAAACATATAAAAGTAAACCCAATGACCATAACAAAAGTACTCAATGTCCTAAAGGAAGACAGAGCAACAAGAAAATCACCTACAAGGGCCCGACGAAGCAAGGCAGAAGACGAACATTAAGACAATTCAGTCCCAAAGGGCTTTACGAACTATCCATCATAGAGTCTCCCACTTGGTCCGTCAGATGCAATCAAAAGAGGAAAGCGTAGTGTCCAACTGTAACAGGGTTGAACACTAAACATGCAGTATGTCTTAAAATAGTAGGGTCATAACCTCTTTTAATAAAACGTTTCATGATTTTAGTAAAAACAGCAGTAAAAATTACCATGACCCAAAATCTTACTAAGTTTGTAAATCGTATCGCCATAAAAACCAGGAGCAGATTTAATCAGATACGATTGTCAGTTATCAAATGGATATTAAATCAATGTCCCAATGTCTTTAAACAAGTCAAACGATTAAAATTGTTTCTAAGAGAATTTCTAGACACGATTTCAATAATACAAGGCAGATAAAATAAAAATATGATCCAAACAACAAAGTATTTTATTAATCGTGGATATATAACGTCAGATTTCAAAGATACAAGGAGATAAAATAGAATATTCGCTGACGGATAATATATCTTGATTCTTCTTACAGTATCAATTTGAATGAACATGTCACAATCTAAGACAAGACTTTCTTGAACTAAATGCCGAACAAAATTATTATTATTCTAGCTTATTGTCAGTGAAAACGAATCTGATGTATATGAACATGAATCAAATGAAAACGTGATAATATAACGTTTATTTTCAGAAGAGTGGTATTTTTCATAGACCTTTATGATGGAAATTCAATAGCTCGCATTTTATTGTATATGTCCATTTCTGTTACACAATTCATGTTGAAAATTCACCTTTATCCTCTTCAATGACACCTTGTTCTTATTTCACTTTCATCGTAAATTCCTCCCTTTTATTACATTTTGCAGTTGACATCAATAATCGTTCATTTCAGTCTTATCAATATCAGTTTCTTCGAGACAATTTCTCATTTGTATTAATATTAAACTCCAAAACTATTAAAGGAAAACTAAAACTCAAGATTTTAACATTAAAACGTCTTTATACATGCTTCTAATTAACGACAACAAAACTGTTTAGACAGGGTCTAAATTAGTTATATGGTGTATATATATTATCCGAACAACTGAAATATGTCTCGCAAATTCCGCTTCATTTTATTAAGTTCTTAATGCTTTTATTCAATTTAAATACTTTTAATTACTCATACTGGTTTCTAACATCTTTTCATGTGTTTTGAGTCTGCTGCTTTACATACAATTTAGCCAATATTTATGACACGGTCCCAGAAATTGACATCGTATCATATTTATCACTTTGAAACATCCCTTCTCTAATGTGAAACAATATCATATCAAATAGTCGAGTCCATGCATGCTCCAAATCGTCACACCAGAAGGCTTCAATATGAGGCTTAATAGCAACAAGGAAATGCGGGAGTATCACCTGGAAAAGAAAACACCCAAAAACATGTTAATGTATTACTTTTAAACACGTATGTTCAATATGTAATACTGAGTTGTTTAATGAGTTACAGGAATAACAACTTGGCCACTTAGATCTATTCAGTTGTTGATTTAGACTAAATCATGAGAATCATAGCGTATAACTCACCAAGCGTGAATGTATAAATACTGCGATTTGTTTTTGTTGTCCAGTATTATGCATATAATTTAACCAATATCAATCACATGCCCTTGCAAATATAAAGAATAAGAAAAAAAAAACAAGAAAAAACAAACAAACAAACAAAAACCGAAAAATATTTGTAGACAGCCACAACAGCTGTATTAGAATAATGTCATGGCTTCAGACATGATGATTAAGAGTTCTTTAAATACAGCAGATCAAAAGTACAAGTTAGTATAGAATAAATGATTACACATTTGTTTTGATGCGATTTAAAGTGCAGATTGACAATTTAAAAGCAATCTTTAATATTCAAGTGATAGTGCGTTTTAAAGCACGCAAAGTGAGCATTAACTTTCACAAAGTATTTTGCTTCCTAGCACAATATAGGTACCAAATTTTAATCCCCAAGAGGCTTTGTTTTTCCTCACGGGTAATATAGAAGAATATCATTTTAATCAAAATACCACTCCAATTATCAATAAGTAGAACACCTCTTAAACTGCAAGAAACGTAAATGTATGTATTTGATATACAAAACTCCTTTTTATGGGCTAAATTCCCAAATTATTCATCACTATGATATAAATAGTAATAAAGTTTCCTTTTAAAAGGAAAGGCTTGCACAGTTGTGCCTTCATAAAGTGTTTATTTAGTTTGTTTTTATTTTTGTAAAAACGAATATCTTTTGTCAAAACAATTTGAAATCTATTCTCTATTGTATAAAACTTGTAAAGAAAATAATCAATCATAAAAATACTAACTATTCTATCATTCTGAAAAGGAAACAAGTGTGAACATTTCATTTCCAGAGAAATCATTCGTTTTGGCAGTTTCTAATTTCATTTATATAGCATTTTTATGGACAAGTAAATGCACTAAAATACTTCGTTACGTGGTACCAATTAATAAGCATGTATCAACTATGTTACACAACCGCAGATACGGTAAGGTTAATGATATGCATGGGCTATTTTTAGATTACCTCACTGCGTTCATTAGATCTAAATATAACTCGATCATGCACTAATATTCTCTGTGATTTGGTAAGCAAGACCACCCTTTGGAGACGTAACCATCCTCTATTGTATAAGGTATATATGTTAATTAATATACAAAACTAATACAGACAAAAACAATTATAAAAAAAACTAACTTTTGCGTCTTGAAAAAGAATTGAAACGTAACAATTTCGTTTATAATTTATTACGGTTTAAACCGATAAATCAAGTAAAAATAGAAATCCTATTTATATAAACAAACTGGGATTACCGAAGTAACTAAAATAGCTTAGATTTCCGTAATATTACTTCGTCTGATTCCGCAGTATGACGGATTCGCCCGAATTGTCACGATTGCAATCGGAACTACATCGGCTATAATCATTAAACCGAAGAGTGACGGAAAGGGCCAAAAAGTTGCGATTGGCACGATTGCAGTTGGTTTCTCGTTCAATCATGCACTAACAAATGTAAGCAGGAAACCACCTAACCGGAACAAGTTTTCCAAAACAAATGGGCTTGCAGCCGTGGCTGCAAGCCAAAAAATAAGTGATGCTTAAACCTACTTGTTTTTAGTAGAATAAAAGCTCAATCACATTATAATATACTACTTTATTAACATAACGTGTTAAGCGAAGATAACCAGTTAAATATTATTTGGAATATTTGCTATATATACAAATCACACATAATTAAATTTCTTGATTTACAAGTACTTAATAGGTTCAGTGACAGTTAAAACCTACATCGTTGACCTCTGTTTCACTTACAATACTCTTATAAATACGACTTATGCATGTGTCTATAAGTGTTTCTTCTCACGTGAGATTTACTCCACCAGGGACTCCATTGCATTATAGTATTCCAGAATATTGCCATTCATTGAAATGTATTTGGAAGATTTTCTATGTATAATTTCATGTTTATTCTAAAAAGGCGCCATTAGTGCGATAAAATTACACTAAAGCTGGACTTCATGGACTTTGTGTGAGTCTTTATAACATGTTATTCTCAAGTATACATACGAAACAATGTTACAGTGAGAATAAAAGCTTGAAGAGTAGTTGGCATACTTGTTTCCATGCTTTGACACATTTCATAGAATTGTAGGAGCATAAACACATAATAATAATAGATGGAAGAAAATAAAAGAAATTGCTAAGGGTCAAACTAAGGGCAATGTTCGGATAATTGAATAGTTGAAACTTTAGCAGTTATCGCAATATGTTTATATATTAGTGTAATTCTAACTCTTTTAATTAATAATCTTACACATAAGAAGTATCTACATTGAATATGTGATTTATTTGATTAAAGAAACTAATGATAAAATATGTATTTCCGTAGTAATATGACCTTACCTCTAGATACTCGATAGGGACTTTATACTGCATATGATGGACACCAATGTTTCGAAGTGTTGAGGTCATACTGGATGGTTGATCTAGACGAGCTATACATTTATCTATAGTAGACATCACCCTTAAAGCATGCTTTCTTAACAATCCTGTGTTATGAAGTTCGTCAACATTTTTACCTTTGAAAGATGCAAATGTTTCTTTCAGTTCTGGTTTGCTTTCAAACATACTGTAAAACAAAATAAAATGAAGGAAAAGATAAATGGGAAATATTTTGTGTTCGTTTTTTACTTGTAGGAAATATCAAACAGAGTTAAATGTTCCGCAGACTTAAATATAAAGCTGTGTAATAAAATTATAAAAAAGATAAGATATTTGTTTCAATCTTTTTTATATATCTATTTATTCATTAATTTTATTTATTTATATCTCTATTCATTTATTTTTCTTTGTATTCTTTTTCTTCTTTTTCTTTTTCTTCTTCTTCTTATTCTTCCTTTTCTTTTTCTTCTTATTCTTCTTCTTATTATTTATTATTTAATTATTAATATTTTTATTGTTATTATTATTATTATTATTATCAAACAAAAAAAATAATTTTAGCATCTGTAAAAACAAAAAAGTTCTTTGTCATATTAGTTCAATAGAAGAAAATATCAATGCACCTTATAAACGTAAATACTCCGATGTTTGCAATTTGTGAATTTAAAACTCTCCAGTTATTCCGTATAACAGATTTTTGTTCATCAGTCAATCCCTTTGGTCTTTCACAATTAAAATCAGCATGACCAACTTTACTAAACTTCCTCTTTTTAAATATATCACATATACAACCCATCGGTGACACGTTGTAGACCTTGAAGTTGTCTTTATTTCTTTTTTTTCTTCTATTTTCTTGATTCCTATATGTTTACTTTATCATTATGCTTAACTAGATTCATCACAAACAGTTAATTTAACATTTACTCTGTTCGAATGCAATAGCGCTGTGGACAGTGAAATTCCAATAAATCCTAGTAGATGTATTGAAATAAGACTTGTAGCAAATCAACTTCAAGCAGGCAGCAGCTCTAAGACTTCTGACAAGTTAATAATCAAAGCCGAATAGACGGCCTTTTTATCGTTCAACTCAAAAAGTATCTTCCACTTTGACAAGAATTTACTATACAGTTACAGAACATCGTTCAATCTCAGTCAACGTTTTATATTAATTTACAAGTAATGATATGCAGTGGATTAACAAGAGAAGTACCTGTAGTACTACTCTGACATTATAAAAATTGATAAGGAAATGCGCACTCTCAAACAGTATGAAAATGTACAATACGGGCACAGCACAGCTTCAAGCTCATCAAATATGATTTCTGAAATTATGTACTCCGTTTCGTACAGAATAATAACCATGATAATAATGCCTCTCAAAGAGAAACAAAACAAAAATATAAGCAACAACCAAGGCAGACACACAGTTTCAATACATCAATGGTGTAACGTATTCTCTACAAGTTCTTTGAACATTAGTACTTTGTTTTTGCTAATAAAAGGGTAATTATAATGTTACATAGTCTATTCATGGTGTATATTGACGACTTATATTTACTAAGTCTGCTATATTTCGTTAATTATGAATTTTATCTTTTACGGACGATATAGCAGTATATGCACTCATTTATGTTACAAAACGTATCAAGTAGTATCTAAATCACGGAATAAATCACACTAAGTGCCAATCAAAAGAAGCGTTTGTTAATAAAATATTTTATCAATGTTTGAGAAATTATTTTTCATGATATAAAACTTTTTGATTTATAATATGTATTGATCTTAAAGATAAAAATGGAGTATTTTTATAAACAATCTTATGGTCAATATATTTCTCATTGATTATATATATACTTGAGACTTGCAAGCGGGTGGTTAACATACTAGTTGACTTCACAGTACTTGCCCCTTATCGCTCTAGGTTCAAATACCGCTAAATATTTTGAATTACTTCACGTGAGGACGTTATTCAGCTAAGTGACAGTTCTCCTCAGCTGCTCTCTATTGCCTGAAAAAAATACATGCATAGGCAATTGTGAGGTTTTCCTCCATCAGCAATACTGGCGAGCTGCAACATGATCGTTCCAATGCTGGTGTTTCTTGAAACAGAACTAAAATGAATTAATTCAATTAATGAAAAATGTTCAATGAAACATCTTGTTTAAACATTAGATTTTTTAATGTGATGATCGTACTATTTTACTTAAAATAAACTTTGTAACATGCCTTATAATTAGTTTGTAGCGTTGGCTGTGTTCATATTTCAATCAATTTAAGTATATCATTTTACAAAGAGTCTTAAGTTGAACATATTATTTTAGTAGCCATATGGGAAATGCTGAAGAAAATTGAAAAATGAAATGTTTTATGTACTACAAAATACCAATAATGATTACGTGTATATTTAATAAAACGGGATTCCCCAGAGGGCAACCAGTATGTCAATTATTGGTGTTTCCTCGTGTGTACATGTGGAGATAAAACATATTGAATTAGACTGTTGACATGGTAAGTCATTTATTGTAAGTGTTAAGAATGTTCCTGTGATTTAACTTTTACATTAAATCACAGGATTTCTTAATTAAAGCTTTGATTTAAGCAACTGTGCGTATAATAACACACGCAGTGTAATGCTTGGAAATTGAAAAGGGATATACTTGAATGAGATTAAAGCTTTCTTGTGTAGTTCGTTTCGTAGTGTTTATAAAAATGTGTAGAACAAATGGTAATATAATAATGTCTCACTACTTATTGTTTCAATGTCTAGAAAGACATTGAATATTTCGATAGCATGAAACTCTGAAATTAAAAGAACATGACTTCTGCTTTTTGACAATATGGGATGCATATGTAACGGAATTAAATTGCGATGTTCTAGAAAAATCGACCCTAAAGAAGACTACGGCACTGTCCCTCCAGCCTTAACACAAGATGAAATATCTGTGTTGCAAAACAACTGGCAGGTTCTTAAAATACACCTAGCAAATGTTGGAGTAAACACTTTCATAAGGTAATTTCTCTACTTATAGTAATGCTGTTTTAGTTGAAAGTTATTTACATTATTTACATGCTCACATATTTAACTTCCATTTCGTGCTTTACGTATCAAAACCACTTTTTTTCAATTACAATTTTAATAAAATAATTTCACAAATTGTTTGCTATTGACTTTGTTCGCTTTTAAAATTGTTTGGACTACTTAGGTCGATAATGTAAATGTAATTAAATAATTAAATCTTCACATAAAGTACTGTTGACAATTCTATCACTTGTCTATGTAAATGTGTCTTTATTTTATTTGTTAAAGTCGTCAGTTTCAAGTGCATCTTTAAAACGAATTGATTTCTCACTACATAAATATGATTATTGAGCCGACTTAATGACAAAATAATGACGCTCTTTGTCTCGTTTGTCATTATCAAGGTACGTTCCAGACACAGAATAATCAATCTGTTTTTAACATCTTTCATAAAACTAAACTATTTCATTCTATGATATAAAGACAAACAGAATATTATATTTTGAATTGTAAATCACTCTATCAAAAAAGTTAATGAGTTAGATCCGCAATTGATAAGACATTAAACTATATAATGCTGCTCGTTTGTAAAGTCGCTTTTCATTGTTTATATTATTAGAAACAAAGATTTTATATTAGCCTATAAAAATGTAAACCCTTTGCATATACAAGTACAAATGTTGCTGCAATGCAGCAATTGAGGAGCTCCGCGCCAAAAAAAAAATGCGCTCGTTACGGATACCTTACCAAATTATTCCCACGCACATGTCATGTTATATTCAGATTAAGAACTATTTTAGATTTTTTCCGAATGTTTTGTAAACCATTTTTTGCATAAGTATACTTATCTTATGCACTGTCCATAATTAAAAAGAGGGGAAAGATATTTAATATAAAAAAATGCTTTCACTGATGCCTACCTGGTAAGGAAAGTAATTCCATTGAATACAAACAAGACTTACAAGACTTGTTAATGTTATGTGACATGACTGTACTGTGTTCTGTTTGTGTCACTACTGTAGTCAGTAAAATAAGATGATAAAAATATCAAAGTCTGTTTTTTTATTATTATAATTGTAACAAATATACAAATAGTAACAAAAGGGACTAATATTTTAATATAGTAATATTACATGCATTTTTTCATGTCAAATTAAAAAAAAATGGTTTCTTTCAATACTGAAAGTAGAACACACTCTGGAATGAAAAAATGGGATGAATTTCAAAAAGATCAAATCCAGGAATTTTTTGTTTGTTATATACGCGTTACATGGTGATACAGTATTTATCAATATAATAGAAGACTGTTACCTGAATGTTAGGCAGGTTTGAGGAAATTCACTAACACCATGTTCGTGCGAGTCAAAGACATAAAAGCTATTTGACATTGGTGATATATAAAAAAACTATTGTTAATTGATTTGAAGCACACAGTGGTATGCAATACCAATGACGCCAATGAAATGTAACCTTATAAACTAAAGTATAATTATTTCAAAAGAACCAATATATCAACATGTTATTATTAAACATTTAATTTCATAAATATAAATTAAGAATAAGTATCAAAAGCAAAATTATTAAAGTCTTATGCCTGAAATCTTCTTTATATTGACAAATTCAATCACTAATAGTATACTTGATATGCTGTGTGTAAATGTAATTCAAAATGTAACAAATTATAATAACATGTACTACTAAAAAAGGGAAATAACAAATTTATAACCTAAGTGTGAAAAGTCAGAACATTTATTGGAGAGGTCATCAGACCTCTCCACAGTGTTCAGACTGATTGCTGGCGGCATCCATTTTTGCGTATCTGATTGTAGTGAACGAATCTCATTTAAAGCGTAAAATCATTAGGAGTAGTCTGCAAAAATTGTTTTGCGCATGCTCCGTTTCAAAATACGGCTTAACTTGAAAGAAAAATTAACATGGAAGTGAACAAATCGGTACAAAGAAAAAACGGGAAATATCATTTATGTTACTTAGCGCTACGTGGATGTTTCATTCCGTTTTTATCTTTTAAATTGTATAAATCGATTACTGTATAATTGTTTTCTGAATAGCGTTTTTACTCTTTCATGTTCCGATAAATAGTAACAGTGAATTTTACAGGTACCATATCACCATGTACTATGATATGACCGGGTTAACCGTGTACCGA